CCAGAGAGCAGGAGTGATAGTTATGTTCTCCGTTTTCAGACTGTTGCTGAATAATGAAGATTATCTCTGGCCAGACTTGTTCCTTTATATTGTTCAGCACTGCCCTCTACACTTTACATACAGGATAGACTCAGCGTCAGAAGATTAGCCAGTAAAACACCACCAAATATGTTATTTTCCTTAGTTCTGCATGCAGACCCATAATTATTTAACTTAAACTGGAAATCTTTTATGCACAGAATATGCTTCTTCCTCCTCCAGGGCCTGTGGAGCCCACTCAAACCACAGCGTAACTTCAAAAATGGAGCAGACAATTTTAAGAAAACACTACAGTGTGTTAGCCTGGAGAAGCGATGCTTTAATGTGGCTGCAGGACTTGTACTCTTTAATAAGGCTCACTGTTTATCAACTTTCAGCATGATCATATTGTAATAATGCAGTCATATCATTTTATTGTTTCATGAATTTCTATTGTCTGAATTATTGATTCTGTTTGCAAACTCCCTCAACTCAAATTGACCCTTAGGAATAAACAAAGTATAAGTAAAGTAAAGTATCAAACTGAATTAAATGTCTGAGAATAAATTCACTGGCACACAATCTGAGGGTCCAGACCATGGACGTATAAAGACACCTGGATTACAGCTTTGGTGTGGTGCCCCATTCATTCCTATGAAAGTTGCTCAGTGGCACATGAAGTCAAAATAGTTCAAGTGCCATGCACTGCCTCCGTGGACTGTGTGGCCCTTAGAGCAGGCGCACAGAGACTTCTACTGGCTGAGCCAGCTACTTCCAGTTAAGCGCTATGTTAGCTTCAGTAGGGCTAAAATGATCCAACCATGCAGCTCTTCTCGACTTTCTGTTGTGATGCTCAGAAAAATGTATCCATATTAGGGGTGGTGGAAAAAATCAAGCATAGTATTGCAATATTTTTGTGTGGCAATAATGTATCGTCACACTGTGCCAAGTATCGATATTTTTATCATATAAATTCTTAATTTAAATACAAAATGAACTTTAGTTAGCCCACTTACAGTCCACAAACATATGTTTTGCTGCTGAAAAAAAAGAAGGACTAAAGTTAGATGAACAGACTGAAACCTTTTCCTTTGGCGACAGATAATAATCTCATTATATCGCAATATATTTTATAGCAATACTCAGCATATCACAACACATTTAAAATAATATTGTATCGTGATAATATCGTATCGCCTATCCTCTGGTGATTCCCACTCCTAATCCATATATTACAGACGTCTCCTTCTCAGTGTAAGTCACTTAAAAGTCTTCTTGAGTATCATGTGGCGGTGTAATTACACTGTTTGGCCGCTATGAAAACTGGCCTCTAACCCAGGTTGCTTCCTGGGGGTTCTGACCCCCGTTAGGGGTCACTAAAGCTTTTGGGGGGGGGGTCACAAGGCCGTCTTGATTTTAAGGAGTGTAAGAAAACGTTTTTTTTTTTAATGTTCAGTAGGCCTGTATTTCATTATTTCATTCATTGCTGGAAAGAAAACTGAATGAAATTGTTAATTTTAGAGTTTCGATTATTAAAACAAAAATCTCACAGGATAAGGGCACAGTGAAGACCTGAACACAAACCATACTCACAGAGCTAAACCACCTCATCCTGCATTACAAAAGTAGGCAGTTCAAACAACCAAAGAGCTAATAGAACAATGGCCAAGAATCAGGGAGAGGAAAACACTGCATTTGTAATGCATTCATACATAATCCAGACAGTCGTAAAAAGAATGTCAGTATACAATATTTTCAGGAAATAACCTCTAAATGAATCCAAATCACAAGTTTTACACAAACTCCCTGCAGTTATTGTGCTCACTGTTTGGGTTAACTGCACAGTTCGGCGTCGTTCTGCACTGTTATTGTTATGCATTGAATATAAGATGAAATAGCCATAAAATATGTCACTTTATCAGGGATCATCAGTTCCCTACATAATACAAAAGGAGTCCCTTAAGGTAAAAGTTTGGGAACCACTGATATAGATGTTGAGCAAACACACACTGATATTTTGATACTGATTCCAACCATACAGTCCAGATCTGGTCCTAATGTGCTCCCATGTAATACACATACTGGAGTGCATTATGAGCTGCAGTGTAACTGCTTCGACTCAACCCCCACCAGCCGTTACATTCACAGAGCAGGCTGCACTTGACAAAGGTGGTAGTCATTTGTCTGAAATGAGAAATCACTCATGCTATGAGTGATCACACGCTACGTGTGTGCGTATGAATAAGTGGGTGTGTGCTGCTGCTGATAATGACAAGATAATTTCAACACTCTTTCTTCTTTTTTTTCCCCTCCCTTGTTTCTTTTCCCCACTGAGCCCGGCCCTTCTTGCCCCCTTCTCGCCATACTCCACTGCTTTTCATATTACTTTGCTTTTGTTTCTGAGCACTTATTTCTTGCCCCACTTCCCCCAGCTTGTTTTGCTCGGGAAAGAGAGATGGAGGGAAACAAAAAGTGTGTGTGTGTGTGTGTGTGTTTTTGAGACGGTGAGAGAAAGAAACAGAGTCTTCCCGGGATGTTAGTATTATTTGTGGTTTGTTACTCCGCTCTGATTCATAGCAGCATCCTCCCACTGCTGTTTAAAGGGAGGTTGTAATATGCACAGCATAATTGGATGTGTAATCCTTTGCTTTGCACCTCTGGTAAGCAGTGTTGAGTGGAGCTGATTAAGATGTTTGGAAGACAATAAAGATTAAGCAGGCCCGTCCTCGGCGTATGCACGCTCAGACAACAACAGTGGTTAGCCAAAAAAAAAGTCTAAAGCAGGAAATAAAAGTCTGAAAAACAGAGTTGCTATCATTCTTTTTTCAGTCCAGCTATCATCGCTCAATCTACGGAGAAGTGGAGGCAGAGATGTCAACATTTTGCTGTTAAAGCATTCAACTTGTTCCCCTTCCTGTGATGATTTGACAGATTACTGTGTTTTATTTTGATAGTAAACAGGGAGGGGTGAGGATGTAGGGCAGGAGGAGGGCTTCTGCTGTGTTTCCACTGAAGCATCATCTGTTATGCAACACATTTTTCCCCCTCAACAGGGGGGGTGTGGTGCTGAAGAGTCTGTCAGCCCGGACAGTCAGTCAGTCAGTCAGGTGGATTGACTTCTTATCTCAGTTACAACGCCACCGGCCAGTTGCATTTCCACCTCACTCATTTTGCTTTCAGAACCTGAGGGCCCATCTTTTCATCGACTAACAAAAGCACTGCCCGTTTGTGGGAGGAGGAGGTGTGTGTGTGTGTGTGTGTGTGTGTGTGTGTGTGTGTGTGTGTGTGTGTGTGTGTGTGTGTTGGACCTTGTGAAAGCACAACAGAGGGAAGGAGGGGAAGAAAAGAAGAGATTATTGGGGGAAAAAAAAGAGAGGCAGATTTCTCCACCCCCATCCTGTCTCCCTTCCTTCCTCTCCAGTCTTGGCGTGTTGGGACAGCAGGAAGGGGAGCTGGAGGAGAAACAGTTAATCAATAGCCACAAGGTCAGATGGCCAGCGCTGGACTGAAGCGTGCCCTGTTAGCGGTCCGTGGAGCTGCCTGGCCGCTGAAGGGGATTTGTAGCACTTGTCAGGGCTTAAAGGAGCCCTCTCTGGACCACTTGCTCCAGGTGTAGAGTGTGAAAGAGACATGCTGGTTAGCAGCAGGAGAGGGAGACATCTGCTGGATGCTGAAAGACAGCACAGCGCAGCAGAATTAGGCCACCCAGAGTTATGGTCATATTATGCCCGGTCAGAGTGGCTTTGAGTGCAGAATGTAAAGTTAGCTGTTTTGTGGGGACTTTTCACAGCAACCACTGCAGCATCATGTCCGTGTAACCTGAACAGAGACATTTTCTGCCCACCGTTTGACCACATTTACTCCAGAATTCCCCCCTTACTCATGCGAGCAGTGTATCCGACTTTGTGTGCGAGTGCACTTCAGGTAATTCTACTCTGGTAATGCTTAAGCTCAGAGGATTAGTAATACACTCTTATTCTCAAAGTGTTCCTTTGAAGTTTTACCTTTACGCTTAATCAAAGTGAAGAATTCGAGCTTTTGTGTTTACATGCTCTTAAGTGTGTGTGTGTGTGCACGCGCGCAAGAGAGAAAGAGACGGGAAGACTGTGCATACTTGCAATAGTCTTTCTAAGATAAGCCCACCAGACTGAGCATTACACATGAAAACTCCCTGGCTGAGCACTACGCTTTCATCGTATTCGCGCTCTCGCTCTGTTTCTCTCAGCAGGGGATCTTGGGGGACCCTTTATCAGTAGTGAGCAGCTTTCTAGAGCCCCGGCTCTTCCCCCCACCCCCCTACCCCACCTGTGGTCTCTCAGTTCGCCTTTTGTGTGGAGGAATGTGAGGCGGACCAACACTGATGGAGATAAACACAGAGGGACAGTGAGGGACGGAGGCCTGGCTCGCAAATCAGCACGCTACCTATTAATCCGGCCTCCGTTTCACCGAGATGTAGTGATGAACATGTGGGTGAAATTGTTGTTGTTGCTGCTCACTGTTGGATTAGATCACGATATACACAGGTAGAAAGAGATGCTGTAAAGCTGAACCTTATCTGCTGTTAGATGTGGGTATATATTTGTCTATGCCACGCTGATAACCTTGACTGTGAGGTGTGCGTCTTTTGAAGAGAGATAACAGTTTATGTCCCGTCTTGTTTGCAACCAGTGTTCGATATTCCTCCCACAGGTAACATAAAGCCATGAAGTTTTCTTTCAGTTTCGTCATGTTTCCGTTTGTCGTTAACGGCTCTCGTGTGGAACATCTCGGTTTATTGCGTTTGCCAAAAAAACATACATGCACGAGGCGGATCAAGCCCTCCGATGAGTCAGTGCGTAAACAAGCCGGCATGGCCTGTTTGAGAATTTGTCAAAGCTGCTAAACTGCTGTTTGAACTTCATGGGCTACAAACTCTGTACATGGGTGACCTGGCAGAAACCTGTTCTAACAGATGTACCTCTCCTCCTCCGCTTCCTTTACAGAGTACAGAACTTTTTAATGGCGTCCCGGTAGAGACATCAAGATGAACACGTTACCATCAATGGACCGGCACATCCAGCAGACCAATGACAGGCTGCAGTGCATCAAACAGGTGCGTATACAGACCCAGCCTGTTGTACCTTCATTCAATCTGCATCTCCTCTCCTCTCCTAGACTCCTCTCTCCTCTCAGCACCTTATATGGACATCATTTTTTCTGGCCATTAGCTCCAGTCACACAGATCATGTTGCACAGGGTCATAGAGAGAGAGAGAGAGAGAGAGAGAGAGAGAGAGAGAGAGAGAGAGAGAGAGAAAGAGGGAGGCAAATCTGGCAGCGAACACAAGAAGAGACTTCAAAGAGACTAGCAACATAACAGACTCTCCTTTCCCCCTCCTGGTCCTGTGCTCCCTTGCATCACGTTCCTGACTCTTGACGTACTGTATGTCGGCCCTTGTTGTGGTTTTTGCTTAAATGCTTCTTCCTTGACTGCCAGCTTTCAGGAGACTCCTCGCAGACAGATACAGACAGAAAGACACAGTCAGACATAACCCAGGGCTACCGCCTCTGCCTGTGATTAATAGTCTACAAGAACTCGCTGGCTGGCAGGCTGGCTGGCAGGCTGTGGGCTTATTTGTTTATGCTATGTGGGTGTGATCCTTTATATCTCCCAACATCCATATGACACCATGCCTTACAGTGAATCAGTGAATGGTAATGCTTTGAGCTCGCGATTATGAGGTGACATATCCCTTTTCTCTGTGCCTGCTGTTAAACCCCATACACACCCCCACCCCCACCTAAACTCCTGAGCACCCACTATAATAATCTTTATCTTAACAGGCTCTTATTGCCTCCTCTTGCTTTGATTGCATGTAGCCATGTGCTCGATGTCAAAAGCCTTATTTCCAAAATGTCAGCTTTTCTCAAATGAGTCGAATTTGGCGGAATTGACACTACTCACTTCACAAAGCCTCCTCAATTATTTTCTCAGGCGTCACTGATAAGCCCTAAATAGCCTGAGTTAACACGTCGAGCTTAATAAATGCACTAATTGTAGTTGGGTTTATATATTCCTCGGCTCGGGCTGTAATAGAATTCGTAGTAAAGCAGACTTCAAAGGCAGCGAGTTAGTCAGTGAGCTCTGAGCTCGTGGCGGCTCTGCCAGCAGGGTGTTGTTTTGGTTCGGGGAAAGCCGCTGGCAGAGAGCCAGGTGTTGTGCTGTTTTTCATGCAGCCAGGTAGGCACTGAACAGCCTGATCCTTGGTTGGCCTGAAAAGGGGTAAGTCAGTCCATCATCTCACAGAGGACAGTCTGTCAAACGTCTGGCTCTTTGTCTGCTGAATCCCCATCACTGCTGCTGCTGCTGCCGCTCAGCCGTACTCCCCCCCACAGCCTCCCCGTTCTTGTCCTCATCCAACCCTGAACAGCAACAACAACAAGAACAGCTCAGGAGCCCATCCTCCAACCAAAAAAACTCAGTGGAGCTATTTCACTCTGCTGTCCTCCCCCTCACACCAGAGTCGAGGTTGTCAGGCAGAGTTGGTGGCGAGCGCTGCAGCAGGAGGAGCTGTGAGTTCAGATCTAGACAGACAGCCCCTGCTGCGCCAGTTCTGATTCCTCTCGCGCTGGAGGCTGATACGCCTCCCATCAAGCAGCAATAATGCCAGATTATATCACTCATCTAGAGCAGGCTCTTCTCCTCCCTCTCACTCAACAAGAGCATCTCTCACATTCTCTCGCGCGCCCTGCTCCTTCTCTTCATCATCAGTCAAACCCCTGTTCGAGTCCGCAGCTAGCTCTGTAACGGCTAATCTTCACATCAAAAAAGATGAGTCACTCAAGGCCTCTCTTGAAGCTCATGATATCATTAGAAGCTCTTGGAGATTTTCTTGGCGGGCGGGTACCAGGCCTGACACATTGGGCTGCGTTTGCACCCGAGAGCTCTTTTGTCGCGCACCGCCGAAAAGCTGCCCTTTCAAAAACACTCACCTCTGCTGCCCCCTAAAGACAATAGTTCTACCTTTTCACAAGAACACACAAAACAAGACGCTCCAGCTCCAGATGAGAATAATAAATGCTTTCAAGTGGGCTCAATCTCACCGACTGAACAAGCTGCAGCTCTGCGCCATTTCAGAGCTATTAACCTCCTGAGCCGTGAAGAAAGGGAGCCCAATTTTAAAAACCGCTTATTGTGTCCTGCCAGCCTGAGTAGCCTTCAGACACTGGGAAGAAAAGACTCAACTGTTTCAGGCCTCAGTGAACAAGCGGGAGAGACAGACAGGGAGTGAAAGAGATTAGACAACACACCAACGGCGCGTATTGAGTCTGCACACATAGCTGCCAGGACCAAGGTTGTTTTCTTTGTGAGCTGCAGAGCCAGCCAGTGGACTTCTGGTGCTGAGGCTCTGTTACATTCTGAAAACAGGCAATGAATGAGGGGAAGAGAGAGGAGGAGGATTGGAGGGAAAAGATTTGGTTGCTGTGTGGGTCATGGGGGTGAGGGCTGGGTGTTGCCAAGAGAGATTAACAGGAAACACTGGCATCATTGTTGATATGGGTGTGATCTTCTTCCCACAATGCAGCAGAGCCCTGAGTGGGCGTACGTTGGAAGGAGTCAAGGTCCTCACAGGGTTGTGCAGAAACACAAGACATTAAATCAAGGCAGTTTGGAGGGAGAGCGCGAGGCTGCGAAACTATTTGGTTTCAGTGTTTTTCCAATTTGTACTCAATCTGAAAAAAAAATAACGCTCATTATTTCCCATTGTTTCTAATGGCAGTCTCTTTTCTTCTGTGTTTGCACAGCACTTACAGAACCCGGCCAACTTCCACTCAGCGGCCACAGAGCTGCTCGACTGGTGTGGAGATCCCCGGGCCTTCCAGCGACCTTTCGAGCAAAGTCTCATGGGATGTCTGACGGTACGCAAACAGTAATTATGGTTTTCGTTGGGTTTTTCAGGTACTTTTTAGGAGACAGGAGCAAAACAATAATTAGATTTGGGATACTTAGGGAAAGAAGACAGGCTGCTGTGTCCACTTCTGACGCCTTTAAATTAACCTAGACTGTGAAACAGCTTAAGGTTCATGCAGTAGTCACATTGACATCTACTGTTCGGGCTTTACTTTTTTCCCCCCCTTCAAATTTGAGTAAAAATTGTTAGTAGCAGGCTGTAGTCACACCAGGTTTGTATCCAGTAGTTATCCAAGGCAGCTGCTCAGGCCGTCAGGGGCCAGTGACAGAGGTTAAAGTCCTTGTCACACTCTGCTTCGCTCCACTTTGTGCCTTACACACACACACACACACACCCACACACACTCACTAAAAGAGAGGCTTGAGCAGGACTGTGGGTAGCAAGTCACCCCTGGCTATCGCCTTTCAGTTCACCAGCTACCATTCATCGATCTGGGCACAGGGCCAGAGAGCTGTCCTGCACCAGGTGTGTAAAAGAAAAACACCTCTCTCACACACACACACACACACACACACACACACACTTACATACAGAGTCACATGTGTGAAAGAGGCTTTAGAGCAGAGAATCCAAAGTTTCACACATCTATCTCCAAGATCAGCCTCCGAAACGCTGAAGGAACATTGTCCCCAGCTCAAGTGGTAGTGTGAGCAAACAGATAAACGCTCATTAATGTGTAAATCACAATAAAAGCCTCTTAAAGCCTGATAAAGAGCTATACAATAGAGCCCACCACTGAGATCCCTCTCAGCATGGGGCCGTCTCCATCAGCTAAATTGTTTCATCAGACTCGGAGAGCAAACGGCTTCTTATCTGGAGAATTACAGCGCGCAACAAGTCCTCGCTTTCGTTGGAGGATTTTATCTCCGTGATGTTACCTCGCTGGTTTGTGTGTCAGAGCGCTGAACTGAAATGTAAAGATGACTGTGCATCAACCGCAGTCCCTGAGATATGTCGTAGCTGAAACTTAAGTGTGCGCCGCATGGGAGACACTTGTTCCCTCTGGCATGTTGTACATGTGGAGGTCATCCTCCAATCCCTGGTGGAGTATCGGCACCAGAGCCATTAAAACATGACATAACTGAGTCAGTGCTGCACTGTTAGCTCTGTCTGCTTGACAATTTGGGTTTTTATATTTGTCCTTCTATACTCATACTGTATACAGAGTGTGTGTAATGCCAGCGCAGGCAGACATCTGTGTTATTTCTGTCTCTTAGTTCACTAGGAGCTGTCTTTCACATAAACTGTATCAACAACAAACAGAAATCATCCTCAAAACTGTTTTCTTTCCCCTCCAACAAATACACAAACAAGAATATCAATGGCCCAGTAACCCTCCAGCACCTCTCAGAGCACTGTTCTCATATTGACAGGAATATGGCCCTGGATGTTCGTCCTCAGAGGGAGATTAAGCTGAAAAAGGCTTATGAGGTGAAACACTGTTAAATCCGTGTTGAATCTATGCTAGCCTCTGTAGCTGGCTGCCTGCCTTGTGCAAACTGCAGGGCACACTCACTCACGCAGGAAATTAAACGATTGACAGCAACATGATTCGACCGTTTGTCAGAATCGTCATCGTTTGCATAATACAGTCGGGTTGAACAGATTATGTTGTGAGGTATTTATCCCTGGAATTCTCAAATCTCTTCTGCAGCTTCAAATAAATTCACCACCATGTGTCCATCACCATCTCTTCACTGAAACAACCAAATAAACCTGATTAATTGACATCATTTCTGCACTGTTTCATTCAGTGTTCAAGCAGCCATATAACCTGTGACAAAGGCACTTTATGATCACTGCTAGCTGTTACGTTGGCTCGCTAAAAGGCACCCCAGCTGACCTTGTTAACAGTAATGTGTGTTTTGAGGTCAGAGGGAGCAGAGGAGTTGTCATCTGTTAGCAGATAAAAGCAAAGGGGTTTCCCCTCTAATAATGATTTACCCCTGTCTCCTGAGTCCTGTTTAACGTCACTCAGAGTCTCCTTTAATGTTATATTAGAGTCCAGGAGGCTCCTGCTTCGTGTCCCATAAATGATTGACCTCTTCTTGAAGTCATTAGCTCCAAAGGATTATTAAACCCTTCCAGCTGGGGACTGGCTCGTCTCAGAATTGGAGGGAAAAGGAGGATTTTGACCTTTGTTCACTCAGGGGATGCTTCTGTAATGTAGTCAGTGGTCAGTTTAGCTGGATATCCCAATACCTATTATTTCCACATTTTCCTGGTCTGTTTGGGTAATTAAACCGGCAACCTCTGGTCCAGAGACAAACTGTGTTCGCTTTAGGGCCAGAGCAGCTTGTTTGATGATAACCTTTCAGAGACTCAGCTTGCTCTGCAGAGCGACTGTGGTTTGGCTCTCTCTCCACTCTTGGAGGTTGTTGCAGTCATCAGACTCGTCCTGACTGTGGATCACTGGAGCAATCCAGACTGCAGACTCCACATTAATCTCACTGTGTGTGTGTGTGTGTGTGTGTGTGTGTGTGTGTGTTTATTGAATGTGTGTCTGAAGGAAGCTCAGTGATAGCAGTGGCTTATAATATTAACACAATTAAGAAAAGTGAATAGAAAGATTAAGACGCCCTAACTGTGTCTTGGGGTTCATTTAACATTCATTGTTCATTTTCAATATTTATAGTATTTGCATAAGAAAATCTTAGTGAAGGTAGGAGGTACGGCGGTAGGTCGTATGGTAGCGAGGTAGGTAGGAAGATTTGTTGGGTAGGTATGTGGGTAGGTAGGTAGGTAGGTAGGTAGGTGAGTAGGTATGTAGGAAGATTGGTGGGTAGGTATGTGGGTAGGTAGGTAGGTAGGTAGGTGAGTAGGTATGTAGGAAGATTGGTGGGTAGGTATGTGGGTATGTAGGTAGGTGGTAGGTAAGTAGATTGGTGGGTAGGTAGGTAGGTGAGTAGGTAGGTAGGAAGATTGGTGGGTAAGTAGACAGATAGGTAGGTAGATTGGTAGGTTGGTAAGCACGTAGGTAGCTAGGTAGATAGGTAGATTGGTGGGTAGGTAGATAGATGGGTGGGTGGGTAGATAGGTAGATAGGTAGGTAGGTAGGTAGGTAGGCAGGCAGGTAGATCAGTGGGTGGGGGCTAGGTGGGTAGGTAGGTAGGTAGGTAGATAGTTATGCAGATAGATGGGTGGGTAGGTAGCTAGGCAGGATTGGTAGGTGGGTAGATTGGTGGGGAGGTATGTGAGTAGGTAGGTAGGTAGGTAGATTGGTGGGTTGATATTTGAGATAGATGGATAGGCAGGTAGATAGATGGGTGGGTAGTTAGGTTGGTCGGTGGGTGGAGGTAGTTAGATTGGTAGATAGGAGGTTTGTAGATAGGTAGGAAGGTAGGTAGAACAATGTAATAAAATGAAGTAATTAAAATATGATGATGATTTAAAAAATTATGCTAATCTTATTAGTGCCTGCAGGACAGCAGCTGTACTCACGATCCATCGCTTTCTCTGCAGGTGGTGAGTCGTGTCGCTGCTCAGCAGGGCTTTGACCTGGACCTGGGCTACAGGTTGCTGGCTGTGTGTGCTGCCAACAGGGACAAATTCACCCCCAAGTCTGCAGGTAAGACCTACCACCTTTACTACAATGCCAGCAGGTGCATGCTCATCCATCATCCCATTTACTGCTGTTGACTTGTGAGACAGTGGACGGCACAGCGCTCATTGTTCCTCACGCTGCACTTATTCACTTTGTCATTAAATAAAACAATCCCAACAAACCGCTGTGTGACTTAAAGTCATGATCCAGTCAGAAGTGTTTCCTGTTTCATTATTCTGCTGCGGCCATGAATGCACAACGTAGCTGCTTATTATGTTTTGAGCACTATATAAAGATTATTAGGATGTTTTCTTTGGAGAATCTTATAATTATACTAACAGACAAAATGTGTATTATTTTGTTCTTGTCAGTGCTTAAAAACAAACTTACCATAAATCTGTGGTTTGCAGATTTGTGACTGCGACCACAGACATCACACAAAAAGCCCACAGAGCATTATAATGTCAGATATTTTTAGCCCCCATTAAACATTAATGTGCTATTGAGATGAGCTGTCCGGGTGGTAGCTTCACAAAAACAGTCTACTCAACAGTCTGCACACACACTCACATGTGCATATCTGCATGCACGTCAGTGTACACACACACATGAAGCGGGAGGGAGAGAAAGAGCGAGCAGTAATGCTATACTCCGACATTTATCTATCAAATCCAATTTCCCCCCCGATCCATACCTCCCCTCCCTGCCTCCCACAGTCCTGCAGGAGCGGCCTGCTCTTGTACATTTGTCAAAGTGAAATGTGCAGAGGCGGGCGAGGGGAGAGGGAGCGAGAGATGGATAGCTGGGGACGTGTCGCTGATGTGTGCTGGACCACTCACTCTGCCTGACAGAGACCTGACAAAGCCGTAGTCAGCCAGTCAGAACACAGATAAACCTTTGTTCTGCAGTTACGTAAGCGGCAGGAGTGAGAGTCAAATATTTTGATTAAACTGTCTTGATTTCTTTGTTTTTCTGACAAGGCGAATATGTCAGTGTTTCATAACAGGAGCTGCAGCGACAGTAACAGTAACGCTCTGAAATCTTATCATGTAATTCCTCATATGAGCTGCGATGTGTTGGATATGGGCAGAAAAATATCAGTTTTTTGTGCACACGGTTGTGTGATATGAACATTTTGCTCCAGCTGAATATCCTCTTTCAGTTGTGGTGGGAAGCATCTTGTTGGGAGGAACTTAAGTGGTCAGACAGACGTCAGTGTACAATATTGATTGCTGTATTTCTCTCTCTGTCTGTGTTCCTGTGTCGGGATAATGTGATTGTTGTCCAGGCATGGCTCGGACTGGCTGGCTGTCTGGGCCCGACTGACAGTCAGAATCATCCTCAGGCCTGCTGATGGTTCTGGGATCTAATAGAAGACAGCACTGGGTTTCAGGAAGAGCTGTTTATGCACAGCGGACAAATGGGAACTGTAGTGTAATTATGCAGGGTGGGGTGGGGGGTGGGGGGGGGGGATATGATGCGGCCAGTCATCAAACAAGGCAGGCAGGCAGGCAGGCTGTCGGGGTGGGAGGCAGATGTGACTCAGGGCAGATCTTACTCACTGAGCATCCGTCTTACCTCCCTTACAAGGACGTCTGTCTGAGAAAGCAGACGGGAGGGCGACAGAGGAGACGTGATGCACACTTGAACTCAGAGACGACGCAGATGCATCAACAAAGATGCAGAGAAACATTTGTTCGTCACTGCTCTGTTAGCTCTGCCTGTGTGCTCGTATTTAAGTACTCTGTTTGTCTGTACATGCATGAGTGCATATTTAATTGTGCAGCCCCAGCACAATCTCCTGACAGCCCGCATGGCGACAGAGGGCAGCGAATCTGACACCTGAGAGCCCAGACGAGGGCCGAGGAGTCTGGGATGCTCTCTGCGAGCTCCTCCAGGGTGGAGAGAGGCAGACTTTTAAGAGCGCAGATCAATCATACTGACGCTTTCTTTCAGAGCATCAGTTAAAGAGGAAATTGATAAAGCAATTATGGCTACCCTACTATTTTTTTTAAACAGTTTGACAACTTGCAAAATGAAGTTAACATGTATGTGTCTCACTACAAGTACAAAACACTCATTGCTGTGGAGCGCCTGCAAAAAAACATCTGATTTATGTGACCAGGCAGTCAATTTACTAGAAATTAATTACTAAACAAATTAATATCTGACTTCCAGTAAGTAATTAGAGAGGATACTAGAGAATAAACACCAAGAAGAACATTTTCCATCTTGCGTTTATAGATAAGTCTTGCATTTGTAATTTTCTTTCTGCACGTGTTTGTCTGTCACTGTCTTCACTGAGCCCATTAACTACAAAACCTAAAGTTGCACTTTTCTCCCAGTGTAAAACTGCTGCCCTGCGAGACCTGTCGAGCTCACTGGAGAGATTTTCAGCAACAGCAGACTGCTGCTGATGAGCTGTCTGGAGATTGTGACCCTGCAGTGAGGCCTCGGGGATTAGCGCGTTGCTCTAATCTGGAATCAGCCAGTGAAGAGACTTATCTGCTGTTAGGCGAGCTAGCATTAGCACTGTTAGGATACATGGTGTTAGCGCGCACTAGCAGCTAGCATTGTCAGGTTGAGTTCGGTCTCTTGAAAAGAGCGACTTTGAGGTTTTGATTTTTGGTGAACGCAGCTTCTTTTGTTTTAAAACCCAGAGTGCGCTCTTTAAAATCATGTCAGAGTTGTTTATGTTTTCCTCGTTATAATCTGTCGTCTGCCACAAGCTGACTTCCAGCCGAGAGCTTCATTAGATAATAGGTGCACTGCTGCCCTACAAAGATACACAACACTAATAGACTCTGAGCTGTTGGGCTACTGTGAAGTTCAGCAGACACCAAATCAGATTAGGCACATAATCTATCAAGGGTTTTACTGGGTTCCTTCCTCAGTGAATCTGCCACTCATGTTGCCAAGCTCATAATAGTTTGATCTCTTTCTTCATGATACGTGAGCTCTCATAATAAACCTATAAAATTATCATTATGACATGTATCCGCTTGATATATCAACTCTCCTGCCTCTTCTTCTTGACAATGTCCCGTCGTGTTAGTTTTTAAATAGATGAAAGTGAACCTAAAGTGTGATGTGTATTGTGTTTTGTGCATGACTTGACACGCTCTGGATTAAAGGTAGCTGCTCCCTGGAATGATCGCTATGTTCTTAGAAACCTACTTTAATGTTTAAGCCAGGTTTCTGCTTGTTGTTCTTCTGTCTGGCTCAAAGAAATAATGATTAAATCATTTATGTTGGCATCACATGTTATCAGAAGGTGAAGCTCCAGTAGTGAATGCTTATCATTGTGGTCAAAGAGCAGGTGATTTATTTTTTTATTTTTTTGGAGAGAGATCCTTTTTATCTACACAAGCACTAATTGCATTTGATGTTTTTTTCAGTTTCTCTTCTCCAGCTGATTAAGAGTGAGTGTGTTGGAAAATCTGATGAAAAGAGCTTCGCTTTGTTCTGGGCGGTTTGTAAATTCCCCCCACCCACTCACATCTGACATTAAAAAAGAAATTGTCCCGGCAGAGCTGCAGAATTTGCCAGCGCTCGGTCAGTCAACAGAGCAGGGCTCGCAGGGCAATCTCAGGAAAAACAGGCGCTCCGCTGTGTCAACAGTGACAGAAAACTTCCAGGGTGTGGCTGTAACTCACCCCGTGTCCTGCAGAAAAAAAAAAAACACACAACAGCTCACAAAAAACTACACCGGCTCATAACTCCCATAATTCAGCAAGCAAGTGCAAGAGAGCTGAACAGAAGTGCTCCCATTAGACTTGTGTGAGTGCCTGTACTGTACATACACATTACACACACACATCCCCTCCTCCAGGCCTACAACAATCTGACATGTCTCCCACTTATCTGTCTCAATTTACTTTCACTTGATTGATTTTCTCACCCCGTCTTTCTTTCCATCTTTGAGCTGTGTGTGTAGAACTAGAGGAAGGTGTAGGCATCCTTTGTTACTGACCCAATCAACCTTACAGACTTTTATATTTAATTACTGCTGAGTAAGAGCAGCGCGCTGAATTATTAACAGGAAACAGGGTTTATTTTTAGCAGGCAGGCCTCTCCTCTGACACTCTCCAGTGGTTCGCCTTAGCTGATGAAACCCCTTTGCAACCCAAAACTACCCTCAGAACTTCACTATTAAGTTTATAGAAATAAAGCTCATGGGGAAACACTTATTAGGGGGGTAGCTGCATTTGCTGCCACTGGCTGATTGGGTCCTCTATCACTCGCTACTTAATTGGTTTGGTTTACAGAGTTGCAAGTAAATTCATTTTGGTAATATCCCAGCTGAGCCGGCAGTGCACTCCAAACACTGGAGACTTTGTTCTTGTCAAAACCGGATGAGCAAATGATTTAAATCCTCCTTTTGTTCAAGGTTGACTGATCTGGCACCCACACCTCAGGACTCAACCCCTCCCCTCCTCTCCCCGCACCCTCCACCCATCATCCCCTCAGGGGCTTTGATACACCCTTTTCAAGTTATATTTTTGTCCCAACAATGCCTCCGTTGTGTGTGTTTCAATTCTGCGTGGGACATTTTGTTGAAACCGTTGACGACTGTGTCTGTCGCACAAAAGACACAACTTCCCTCTGCTGTCACGAGGCCAGTGGGCTTTCCTGCTCTCCGGCTGCACGGCACATGTCAACATTTAGGTAAGGAGAGGGAGAACAATGACAGCTTAGGCCTTTCCTGCTCATTCATCCAGATTGTTTCTTTCACCATGTTGGGTTATATTAGGGGCGGGTGGAGAGAGAAGATGAACTCAGATTCACCCTCATCCTGCCTCGGCTTTAATTCAGCTGCACTCAGATGTTCTGTGAGTCTGTGATGTGTCTTGTTAGTTGGATTTAGAAAGTGCCCTCTGATAAAGACTGTTAGGTTAGATCGTCCTGCAGAAGGGACTCTCTGATTAAGGCTCATAACTTTCTGTTTGTTTGCATTTGTATAGACAGATCTTTACATCTCATGCTCTCCTCTCCCACTTCCTCTTTTATGCATTTGCTTCCAG